GTGCCTGTCTGCTGCAAGCCTGTCTGCTGCACACCCATCTGCTCTGGATCCTCCTCATGCTGCCAGCAGTCTAGCTGCCAGCCCTCATGCTGTCAATCTTCCTGCTGCGTGCCTGTCTGCTGCAAGCCTGTCTGCTGCAAGCCCTGCTCCAGCGTGTCCCTGCTCTGCCGCCCTGTGTGCAGACCTGCCTGCTGTGTGCCCACCTCCTCCTGCTGTGCCTCCTCCTGCCAGCCCAGCTGCTGCAAGCCCTGCTCCAGCATTTCCCTGCTCTGCCGCCCTGTGTGCCAGAAGTCCAGCTGCTGAGAGCCAGGACCCACTGGGAGCAGTAGGGTCTACCTCCCCAGCAGCCTGTAGTTTCCACTCATGCAGACACAGCTCAGAAGGAAGATATGTGCCATCTGAAGAGAAACCAGAGTGTAGCTCAACCACTAAGAAGGACCAGTGTGTTCCTCCAGGAGCGCTGGCAGCTCCCTTTCCCTCCCTGCCTATCTGGATGACCCTGCTTCTGTGGTCAGCTGTACCACTCTAGACCTCTGTACTTCAATAAAGTCTCCTCTGACCCACTCCGTCTCTATTGTGACTGTCATCCTGGGGCCTTGCTCTGGGGCCTGCACCCCTTCCATCCTCCCTGTATTTCTAGTTGTGAAGTTTAGAGTCATTTCCTAGACCCACAGCTCCTGTCCCCTTGTTCCGTACTCTGTACTAGGGTGGGGTTCCTCCTGCTCTGGTTCTGGACCTGTACTTTCCCATCTCTGGGGCCCAAGGAGTGACTCTGATAAACCCACTGAAAGGGCTTCACGTTGAGGGAGAGGCATGCTGTGGAGGGCAATGGAGGGTGTGTCCTTGTCCTGAGAGCCTAGGAGAAACTCAGCACGGTGGCCTTCCAAGAATTCCAGGACTGAGGGAAGCTGCTCTGTGGATCCCACCACCTCATCTAGGTGCCACCACAGTGCCTGTCACCAACAAGGCAGAGCTGGCCACTATCTAACCAGAGACCAAGTACTTCAGGCCATGACTAGAGATGCTTATAAACATCATATCAGGATTATGGTATCCAAAGAAACCCCATCACCATACAGAGGATGCTGTTGCTGACACAGGAGTTATACAGCAACACCCCACCACCACCACCACTGTCTGTGCCACATCAGCTTGAGCTGCTAGAGCATCCTACTCTTGTATAGCCCACAGACACAATGGTCTGTCTGATTCCAATACAGACACATTGCTCCCAAACTCACTAATCCCAAAGGTGCTCCAGAGAGGTCACACTGTGGTACCTAGAGATCAATCCCCACTTCAAGGCAAATTGATGTCCCCAGACATAAATGCCTTCAGGTAAGCCACTAAGGCCATCCCTGACAGTGGCAGGGACATCCATTTCATCAGGTGTACAAATTTCAACCCAGAACAAGTGATATGAAGAACACAGGCAATGTGACTTTTACAGCAATGATTTACAGGTGCCAATGATGTTGAAGTGAGTGAAATGCCCAATAAAGGATTTAAAAAACTGTTGTTAAAACACTCAATGAGCTGAGACCCAAGGTTATATAGATAAACTGTTAAATGAAATTAGGAAAACTATGTGGACTGTGAATGAGAAATCCAGGAAAGGGTTTTGTTGTTGCTGTGTTTTGTTTTGTTGTGTTGTGTGTTTTGTTTCGTTTTAATAAAAGAAACCAACCAGAAATCTTGAAAAGGAGGAGAGACATAATCTGGATAAAGAATTCAGCTGAAAGCCTCAGCAGCAGATTCAGTCAAATAGAGCAAACCATGTCAGGACTTGAAGACAGGTCTTTTGAAATATCACATTCAGACAGAAATAAAGCGGGGAGAGAATGGAGAGAGCATGGGAGATCTTTAGGACACCATCAATCATCAGCGTCACCATCACTGGCATACCTGAATGGGAAGAGAGAAAATTTCAAAGCATAAAAAAATCTACCCAATGATATCTTACTGGAAAATTCCGTAGGAAAGATGTGGACACCCAGGGAAGGAAAGAAAGTTCAAAGAACCTTAAACAGACTGATAGAAAAACCCTCACTACTGAATATTATAGTCTGGCTGTCAAACAGCAGGACAGAAAATACTTAAAATATGCAAGAGAAAAGCACCTAGTCCCATTTGACAGCAACTCCCTCTCCCCTAGATCAGCTGCAGACTACTGAGCAAAATTCTGCAGGCCAGAGAATGTGGAACAGTGTGTTAAAGTCTTACAAGGAAATCACTGTCAGCTAAGATTACAAGCCCAGCAAGGCTTCAGAATCAAAGAAGAAACAAAGACCTTCCCCGATAAACAAAAATGAAGGGATTTCATTGCTAAGATACCAACCTTACAAAGAGAATCTTATACCCAGAAATTGCAGAAAGTAAAAGTTCCCTCAGAATAATACCAGAGAGAAATAGAAAAGGATCAAATACAATGAATTCAGCAAACCATCAAATCACAAAGACAAATAAGAGAGGAAGAAAAGAAACAAAGACCACAAACAACTAGAAGAAAAGCAATGGTGCAAGCCCATACCTTCATCAATAACTCTGAATGTCAACAGTCCTAATTTATTAACTAAAAGGCAGAGCAGCTGAATAGATTGAAAAACAAGATCCAACGGCACACTGCCTGCAAGAAATTCACAGCTCCAGAAAGATACACAGGCAGAGAGCCTAAAGTAGAGGGATGAGAGTATCTTTTTAGGCAAATGGAACTTGAAAACCGGCAAGAGTGGCTATGCTTATCTCTGACAAAATAGAATTAATACAAGCAGAAAGGAGAGACAAACATGTAATGACACAATGACCAAGAGGTCCATTCATCAAGAAGACTCTATTATTAACCTATATTTACCCAATAGTGGTTGTTCAACTTAACAAAGCAAGCAGTGTTCAACCCAAAGTGGCACAGAACCTAATAAAATGATGCTGTACCATGCAACAGTCACCCCCAACAGTGGGTGGAGCATGCAAAAGTCAACAAATGCCCGAGCTGATGGCACAGGGGACCAAAGGATGTGTGTGCTGACAGGCATCGACTGGGCATTCCAATAGCTGCAGCATACACAGTCTTTTCTATGGCACCTTGAACTTTCTCTAGAATAGACCCTATCAGAGGCTACAAAACAAGTCCTAACAAATTACAAAACCACTGAAACCACACCCTGTGTATTTTCTGGTCATAGTGGTGTCGGTCTGGAAGCAACAGCAAGCCAAACTTAGACATTCTAAAGTGCATGGAGACTGAGCTGCAGATTTTATTTTTATTTTGCTACATGGTAGCAAGTTTCCTTACAGCACCTTCATACATACTTAGCTTTGGTTGAGCCTCCTCCCTCCCCGCTCCCCTTCCCTTGCCCATGTAAACCATTCCACCCCCAGTATTGTCCACTTCCATGTTCATGTCCACATGTTCGGTTACCCCCACACTTCCTCTGAAAGCCTTACCACCACCCCCAGGTTCCCTTCCTAATTTCCTAAGCACCATACACATTCAGACCCACAGAAGTGCATATATATAAAAACAAAAAGCTAGAATTCATATATAAGAGAGAACAGGCAGTGTTTGTCTTTCTGAACCTGTGTGGCCTCACTTAATGTGATACTTTCCGGTTCCATCCATTTTCCTTCAGATTTTCATCATTTCATTTTTCTTTGTGACTGAGTATAATTCCATTACACGTATGTACTGCACTTCATTGTCTTTAGTTGATGGACACCTAGAATGAGTCCATTGCCTTCCTATTTTAAATAGAGCATCAATGAATGTAGATATAGCCAAACAATATGCTTCAGTTGGTGGGGTGGCTCAATGGGTAAAGGGGCTTCTGTGAGGCTCCAGCAGACTGAGTTTGAGCCCCAGATCCCACAGAGTGGCAGGAGAAAACTGACTCTTAAGAATTGTCCCCTGACCTCTACATGTACACCATGACACAAACATTTTTACACACAGAGAGACACATTTTTTTTTTAAAGTAAGCATTCGGTTCCTGAGGAAACCAGAGGTTGTGGAAGCATAATATAACAGACAGAAACCCCTAGGGCACAACAGAAGTAGTACTGAGTGAGGTTCCTATCAGGAATGCCCACATCAGAAGATAGAAAGCCTAAAAATAAACAATGATGTACCCCAAGGTCTCACAAAGGCAAGAATGAAGCACATCCCAAAATGGTAGAGGGAAAGAATGCTAACCAGGGTGAAAGTGAAGTCAAGTCCCTGGCACAAGGCAAAGAGTCTGTGAGACCAGACAAGCCAAAGGACAAGACTTACCTGCAAGAGCAGGTGAGGCAGGTGAGGGGAGGGGAGAGAATGAGAATTAAAAGAAACTAAGTTTAAGAATTTACTGGTATCAGGGGCACAGAGGCCCTTGCGCTCACAGACACACACTAGGGGAACCTGGAATGCTAAGTACACAGGATTGTTTCTTCAAGGGAAGGAAACCTGTTTTCCACCCAGAGGGCTGGAGCAGGCATGCTCTCTAGCCTGGTGACAATCCGTGTGGCCAGAGACTTTCGGGCACCAGACCCTTCTCTAGACCTTTCTTGTAAATTTACTTTCTCGGTCAATCTATAGAACCCATCTTTATGGAGGGTGTCATATGTACTTCACAAAGAGTTTCGAAGTAGTCCTGCCTGATCTGTATTTATTTTACTTTGCTCCTCAAAGAGATTTGGTTATGATTTGCTGTGAACGTGGGATTGAGTTAATCATCACAAGAATAGTTTTCACCAGGTTACGCTGTGTTTAAATGTGCCTAAAATAAACAACATGGGGTCAGACTTCCAAAGCTTGAACCAACACCAGCTACTAGTCATGTTGTGCCCAACTGCCTTTTTGCCTCCCGTGGCATATCACTCTGCCACCCACGAAGGTCACAGAGACCCTTGCATACTGTCATGTTCAATCACAGGGCTGAGCAGGCAAGAGCAGCAGGTTAGCAGCAGGAAAGGCAGGTGAGCCGACTACTCCGTTCTGAAAAGCAGGAACCAGGATAAAGGCAACGAGATGTGCCCAGCCTCAGTGGCCTGCAGGACACAGAGGGCACAATGACCCAGCTTAATAGGATCCCTAGCAGGACAGAGAGGACAGAAATGAAGGAGTGGAAAAATACATGAAGAAAAACTAGAGAGATTCATAGCGGGACGGAGGTTCCCCAGGCTGCAGAGGAGCAGGTTAGCATTATACAGGGGCGGGATTTTTGTTTTTGTTTTTTTTACACAATGCAGGGACTGTGGGGCTGGATGGTCACGAGGGCTGCACACTGTGAGTGTGTGCAGTTCCATCTAAATGTGCCCTTTACAAATTCAGACAGTAAAGCTGAGGTATATTCTATTCCAATAGACAATAGTTGAAATATTTCCAGAAATAGCTGAAAACCTTCCTGAATGTGATGGGATTCCTGGAACCTCATGTCTAAGAAGTCCAATGAACTCCAGGAAGAAGAAAACCAGATGTCACCAAGGAGACACATGGATGCAGTTACCACAAGACAACTGAGGTAGTTAGAAGCTCACTTGTCCCCCGAACCCGAGGCCAGGAGGCAATGGGGTGGTGTGCTCAGAGGATGGGAAGGAAACTGCCAACTCAGAAGTCGACACTCAGCAAACTGTCCTTCACGTGCAGAGGAGAGCTGGTACCCGAGTCCCAAACTACTCAGGAAGCTGAGGCAGGAGGATTACAAGTTAAGAGGAATTATCTAAAAGAGCTGAGACCCCCTGAGTGCTCCGACATGGAATGCTTTCAGGGTACATGCAGGAGCCTAGGCTCAACCCTCAGTTACATAAAAGAAAAAAAAAAGGGAAGGGTAAATTAAGATGTCTGCCTAGTTAAGAGAGTCCATGGTTCAAAAACCTGCTTACAATAGTTGTTTTTTATTCATGACAGAAAGGACTCAACGTGGCATTCAAAGCTACAGGGAGAAAGAAGGTCTGTCTGTAACATTTGTCTACAACATCTGGTCTCTAGACTCCGTGGAGTCTGCCCCTGACACTTAAGTTCCTTCACTTCTTTGTTTGTTTGTTTTGTTTTTCGAGACAGGGTTTCTCTGTGTAGCTTTGCGCCTTTCCTGGAACTTGCTTTGGAGACCAGGCTGGCCTTGAACTCACAGAGATCCACCTGGCTCTGCCTCCTGAATGCTGGGATTAAAAGCGTGAGCCACCACCACCCAGCTTAAATTCCTTCATTTGTCACCAGCCACAGTCCAGGGTTCTCTTCCAGTCCATCATGTTTACATAATCTTGCAGCCATGACCCTGTTTCCATGTGTGATTTTAGTGTTTTAGAACTCCCTTTCCTTTAGTGGGATTAAGCCTTGGCCAGTGTGGGTCTCCATTGCCATGGTTCCCAAGGCTGTTTTTCACGGTCTCAGCATTTCCTGTGCGCTGCTGGCTCTGGGTTCCATTTGTACTTCCTTTTCCTGGTTCCTTGAGGTGTGAGTTTAGATGACTGAGTTTCCCTCTGGCATTGTTTTGGCCGCATCCCAGCTTGTGTTTGCTGTGTTTTCGTTTTCATCTGCTTCTCATACCTTCCAGCTTCTCCCCTGACTCCTTCACTATTTATGTGTGTCTTCTCTTTCGACAGATCGGTGAACTCTCCAGTTCTCTTTCTGTTTTGATATCTGTTTCTTTCCATCATGGTCAGGGATGATGCCTCCTATGATCTCAACTATTTCAAATTCACTGACACTCATTTGGCCCGAGCTGTGAGCTGACCTGCAGGATGGGGAGAAGCCATTGCTGCCTTGTGTGTTCTGTGTGACTGAGTGCCTTGCTCTCCGAGCCCTGTGTGTTGTGACGCATCCCTCACCTGCTCATCCTTTCATTTCTTGGTTTAAAATTACGACACTAACAATGGCTTGCTGACATTGCCAGCTGTCCTCTGTTGAGTTCTCCATCTATCTTGAGGTCTATATGATGACAACCGTGTGTTCTTGACAGATTGATCTCTGTGTTGATGTTTAATGTCACTCACTACCTCCTAACCAATTCTGACTCTGTGGCATGCCCGCACTGCTCGCTGCTCAAATCTCTATGGTTACTGTTTGCAGAGATCTCTTCCCCCATGCCTCTCCTTTTCATTCATCGGTGTCTCAGGATCAAAACTGTCTGAACTGACCTGGGCCAGTGGATGGGACCTGAGATGGTCACTAATTAAAAACCATCTGAGCGAAGAGAAGAGCCCAGGGCCGACAGCTTCAGAGATGAGTGGCAGCAAACTTAGAAGAGAATTATGACCTCTGCTGCTGCCGCTCCCCACCCACAAAACACAGTCAAACCCACCCCAGCGGCACCGGAAAGGACTGTGCAGCACACCTGGGTGTCACAAACGCAAAGTTGACTCGACAGAGACACCAAACAGTGCAGTGTCTCTCAGGGGACTGAGGAACGGCACAGCCGTCTCAATCATGCAGAGAAGACTCTCAGGAAAAGCCCTCACGCTTCCGTAGTAAAGAAATGTCTCGCACGCAAAACTTCCTCACGGCAATGCAGGACACCCACGAAGCCCCACCACTGACCCTTTCTAAGGTCAGGGACAAGGCAAGGTGTCCATTTCCATCGCTTCTACTCAACACTGCACTGGAGGTTATAGGCGAAGCCATTAGGCAAGAAAAACCACAATTACCAACAGTAAAGCCTTTGGGGTCAGAAGGTGCTGCCGGCGCCATGGTGGGTGGGTAGGTCAGCAGACTAAACGGAATCACCTGCTTGCTTCCTAAGGGCGGTACCAGGACAGGAAGTGAGGGCAGTGCTCTCTTCGACACGTCATGCTGGGACAGTCAAGGGTTCACACGCTGAAGAAAACACTACATTCTCATGCCACATCAAAAACAAACTCAAAATGGATCAAGAAGAAGAAAGCATAAATCTACTGACCGAAGACTCAGCTGTGGTGCCTGGGACAAGCCACAAAAGCACAAAGAACACAAGAGAAGAGAAATTAAACCACCGAAATTAAGAAAGCATTGGGAGCAGGGCATGGTGGTTCATGCCTTAATCTCAGCACTTGGGAGGCAGAGCCAGGCAGATCTCTGTGAGTTCGAGGCCAGCCTGGTCTATAAAGTGAGTTCTAGGACAGCCAGGGCTCTGTTATCCAGAGAAACCCTGTTGAAAAACCAAAAAAAAAAAAAATAAAATAAAATAAAATAAAAATTTTAAAATTAAAAAGCACTGGGCATCAAGAGACATTATTAGAGAATTCAATGACAACCCTCAAAACACAGACATTCCAGGAACCTGCTACCCAGAATCTATCAAGAATTCCATGGCAGGAGAGACAACCCAATCTAACAAAAGACCATCCAATTTTTTTTGGCATTTTAGAGACAGGGTTTCTTTGTGTAGCTTTGTGTCTTTCCTGGATCTCGCCCTGTAGACCAGGCTGGCCTCGAACTCACAGAGATCCACCTGCCTCTGCCTCCCGAGTGCTGGGATTAGAGGCGTATGCCACCACCGCCCGGCCAATTTTTTTTTTTTAAAGACAATGCAATGTTAAGACTATGCATAGGTCTTTAGTGGCCCCTTCCCTAAAGAATATGTGTGTGTGTGAGTGTGTGTGTACATACATACACACACACACACACACACACACACACACACACACACACACACACACA